AAGCCGTTTTCATGTGTGAACTGTGGAAAAAGTTTCAGTCATAAACAGAGTTTAACTCAGCACATGAGGATTCACACTGGTGAAAAGCCGTTTTCATGTGTGAACTGTGGAAAAAGTTTTAGTCATAAACTTTGTTTAACTCAGCACATGAGGATTCACACTGGTGAAAAGCCGTTTTCATGTGTGAACTGTGGAAAAAGTTTTAGTCAAAAAACGGCATTTAACTCGGCACATGATGATTCACACTGGTGAAAAGCCATTTTCATGTGTGAACTGTGGAAAAAGTTTTAGTGAAAAAAAGTCATTAACTCGGCACCTGAGGATTCACACTGGTGAAAAGCCGTTTTCATGTGTGAACTGTGGAAAAAGTTTTAGTGAAAAAAAGGCATTAACTCGGCACCTGAGGATTCACACTGGTGAAAAGCCGTTTTCATGTGTGAACTGTGGAAAATGTTTTAGTCAAAAACAGGATTTAACTCGGCACATGATGATTCACTCTGGTGAAAAGCCGTTTTCATGTGTGAACTGTGGAAAAAGTTTTAGTCAAAAACAGAAATTAACTCGGCACATGATGATTCACTCTGGTGAAAAGCCGTTTTCATGTGTGAACTGTGGAAAAAGTTTAGTCAAAAACAGCATTTAACTCGGCACATGATGATTCACACTGGTGAAAAGCCGTTTTATGTGGGAATTGTGGAAAAAGGTTTAGTCGTAAACAGAAATTAACTCGGCACATGAGGATTCACACTGGTGAAAAGCCGTTTTCATGTGTGAACTGTGGAAAAAGTTTTAGTCATAAACTTTGTTTAACTCGGCACATGAGGATTCACACTGGTGAAAAGCCGTTTTCATGTGTGAACTGTGGAAAAAGTTTTAGTCGTAACAGCATTTAACTCAGCACATGATGATTCACTCTGGTGAAAAGCCGTTTTTCATGTGTGAACTGTGGAAAAAGTTTTAGTGAAAATCGGGCATTAACTCAGCACATGATGATTCACACTGGTGATAAGCCGTTTTCATGTGTGAACTGTGGAAAATGTTTTTGTCGAAAACAGCATTTAACTCGGCACATGATGATTCACACTGGTGAAAAGCCGTTTTCATGTGTGAACTGTGGAAAAAGTTTTAGTCGTAAACAGCTTTTAACTCAGCACATGAGGATTCACACTGGTGAAAAGTCTTAAAAGTTCACTATAAATGTCATTGTAATAAAAATGTGTTATTTACTGGAGGGTTTACATCTATAAAGTGGTGGAAATTTTTTAATTAAGTTGTTAAATGTGATATTTATTTGCACCAAGGATGTGTGTTTGTAGCAGTATGAAGCAGGCCGATTTGAGAAGCAAAATGCCTGAAGCCGCAGCTACACTGATAGCTTGACTAGATGAAAAATGCCAGTCAAAAAGAAAATGTTATCACCTTAGCAGGAGAATGGATCAAAGACTAGAAGTCCTGAGAAACTCTTGTTTTGTAGCCCAGAGAAACAAGAAACAAGAGAAAAGTTTTTATAACCTCAAGAAATTGACAGACAGGATCTTCAAGCGCTACAAAAATGTGCTTGGAAGACAACAGCTGCATGGATGCAGGATGACAACATTGTTTGAGCAGAGACTTGTGACTGAAATCTGGTCTCCTTCTATGCAAATGATTTGTAAGCAACGCCTCAATGTAATAAATATTGAGTTGTATGAGAGCACGTTAGAACTGGCCTGGAGACGGAGATAGCAGACGTCCTGAAGCTGGCTCTCCATTCAATTCTATTGCATTTAAAACTTCAACTGTATCTCTTTCGTCATATTGTGAAATGTTTGATAAATGTTTTGCATTTAGATCCAACAGTTTCCTTAAGAGATTTTCTTACTGTCGTTTTGTAATTGCTTTGCTTACAAATATATTCATGCCTTACAATAAGTAATTATCTTGTTTGGATTAAAAACATTTAATCATTCTTATTCAGCGTTATTCATTTATGCATTATAACAAGTAATCGTCTCACAAAGTTTCAATGTTCCAGAATCTTATTGTAGCATTCATATTAATGTTATAATATTGTGCTTTTAATGCTTCTTGGGATTTATTTGAACATTGTTCTGCAAAAGCAGTGAAAAGGTCAACTGCCATTCTCAGTGCTCTTGTGGTCCATTGTGACTAATTTCATGCATTAACAGAGTTTGACTGGACATGGACTCCCTTCCAGAACATTCTCATAAGATTGGACTTGAGGAATTGATTTGTATTATTCTATTCTGTATAGAGAAATTGTGAGGATGGATGATGTTTATCTTAATACACTAATTATCAAAAATACAATGTGCTGTTATGCACTGACTTTACATTTTCTTTGATGATTAGATTAAAAAATCCATTTAAAAACTTTATGAAATCACTCATTGATTGTTCATGATTTTTTAAAAGTTTGGTTGATTATTATTGTCTTCAGTAATTCTCTGTGTGTCTTTTGTCTTAGTTGTATTTTTGTTTTTTCTGCTCTTTTCTATTACGAGGAAAACATTTCACGTTCTGCCACGAGAAGTGGCACTGAGAAAAATCTGTAGATGTGATGATCGTAGGATCCACAAGGTGGCAGTAATGCAATGACATGAATGCAGTTAGTCATAAAACCCCAAAGAGAAGAAGACAAAGCAGAAGAGATGAAACGAGGTTATGGCTGTTCATAACAGAATTATTTAAATCTGAAGACAAAGGTATAGTTTGGAGAGGAAGCAAGAAGATTTGGAAAATTAGGTGGGATATAAATAAATGGAAGGCATTTATATACAATTGATGTAGTAATGGTTAGAGGAATAAACAGGAGGGAGGAGATAATTATGAATAGAATAAGAACCAGTCAGTTTTTTTAAATGGAACTCTTTTTAAGATGGGGAAACATCTTACTGGTTTATGTAGTTGGTGTGATTTTATGGAACATGTTTTTATTAGGTATAGAAAATATGTAAATCAAAGATATGATAATTTGAGACATAGATATGAGGATCCAATAGGTGGCAGTAGTGCAACAACAATGGATGCAAACTGCCGTTACAATGTAAAGGAGATGAAGAAGAAAAAGTAGTAGAAGAAGAAGAAGAAGAAGACCGAGAGGACAGCACGTGGTCTGTTTTGTTGAATGTTTGAGTGTTTCTCTAATAAATATCTCCAGTCCAGCTTAAACGAGTGAATCAGCGAGCAGTGAACTGCAGAAACATTGACAGAGTTTAAAGAAATCATCGTCCAGTCGGAGGAAGAGATGGATGATCAGCGCAGACTGCTTGATTTCTCCCGGACTCCCCAGATCATCTTACACCGAATAGGTAGGAAACAGCAGCGTTTGGATGCAGGTTAAGGTCTAAATGTCTGCACCTTTCTGCATGAGGATCATTTTAGTAAACGCTCTTTTCCCGGATAAATGTTTTGTTAGCAGGTAAATGAACGCAGACATCACAATGAGAATGGCTGATTTATGGAGAGAAAATGGAGTTTCTCACAATCTGAGCTTTGTGCTGCATCAGTGTTTCGTTGTGTAGTGGAAGTAGTGTCAGTAGTCAGTTAAAACGTTGTAGCTCTGGAAGAAGGGACTTGTAACGGCAGCCCCAAAACAAATACACACATCATGTGCAAATAAAGTTGCCGAAAGTGAAGAAGAGTCTGTTTCGTGAGTGCAACACTATTTGTGTGTTTGGTTTCCATCCATCCGTTTTCTAACTCGCTTATCGCGAGAGTTGCTGATGCATCGCCAGCAGTTGCATATTTAGGTTTATATTGTACATATTTCATACTTTAGTTGCACTTTTCCAACTGGATTTTCTTTCATTGTACATGTGTAAATCCAAAGTAATTCAAAGTCTTTCTATCTTGTTATTAGAGGATGATCAGGGTCTCTGCTCCAACTCTTTATTTCTAACGGGTCGATTTGTCTAATTTTAGATATTTTTTCCATGTAACATTTTTTTGGGCTTCTGGGAGAAGCTTTTTACAATATAGCCCACTTTGTTTCAAACTGCTTTTCAGCATTATGGAAGAGGAGGATACAGCGGAAACGCGATAAAACCATCAGAAAATGTTTGTTTTGGTATGTTGCCATACAAGATGGCGTCCAGCGACGTAAACGTCACACACAGTGACGTCACTTCCAAGCCTCTGGACTTTCAGCAAATGGACCCACAGTTCTTCCTGTCTAACTTAGAAAAGCAAATAATAGGAACAAAAAATAAACAACTATTGACCTACAAATAAATTCATATTTATAACTCAACCCCAAAAAATTAAAGTGTACAAAAATTACATTTAAATATTATTCAAAGTAATAAAAAAATAATATATTGAAATAATACAGTTTACTATTAAATACTAACAATAATCCCTACAACGTTTAATTTTGTAATAAATAAATATATTTTTTTTTATCAGTTCATTTGAGAAATCTCCAAATGTCAGCTGGATTTGTCAACTGATGTGTATCTCTGTCTACGCTGTTGAATTTTCAATGTTATTTTGTTGATTTCTGTCTAAAACTGTGAACAATTTCTCCTATTTACTTCAGTAAAGTTAACAATTTCTCTCTTCTCTGTTTCCTTGTCCAGATTCTCTGAAGTGTAACGTTTATAACCAGGAGAGGAGATCCACCTGGACCAGGAGGAGTTAGAACCTCTGCAGGTGAAACAAGAACAGGAAGAGCCAGAAGATCATCAGATAAAAGAAGAACAGAAGGATCTAGAACACCTGCAGATAAAAGTGGAAGAGAAAGAAGTTTACTGCAGTCAGGGTGAAGAGCTGATTGAATTAAAACAGGAGACTGATACCTGCATGGTGGTTCCTGTTGATAAGCAAACATACCAAACTGAATCAGAACCAAACAGGAACCAAGACATCTTAGAAAAGCCTGATGAAACTGAGAACCAACATCAGGACAGAAGAAAACCTTTATCAGGTGTCATCTGTAAAAAACAATTGATTGTCAAATATGCTGTCAGTGATCATATCAGAATTCATAAGGGTGAAAAGCCGTTTTCATGTGTGAACTGTGGAAAAAGTTTTAGACATAAACAGAATTTAACTAAGCACATGAGGATTCACACTGGTGAAAAGCCGTTTTCATGTGGGAACTGTGGAAAAAGTTTCGGTCGAAAAGAGTATTTAACTCAGCACATGAGGATTCACTCTGGTGAAAAGCCGTTTTCATGTGGGAACTGTGGAAAAAGTTTTAGACATAAATATAGTTTAACTCTGCACATGAGGATTCACACTGGTGAAAAGCCGTTTTCATGTGTGAACTGTGGAAAAAGTTTTAGTGAAAAAACGGCATTAACTCAGCACATGAGGATTCACACTGGTGAAAAGCCGTTTTCATGTGGGAACTGTGGAAAAAAGTTTCGGTCGAAAAGAGTATTTAACTCAGCACATGAGGATTCACTCTGGTGAAAAGCCGTTTTTATGTGTGAACTGTGGAAAAGTTTTAGTGAAAAACAGAATTTAACTAAGCACATGAGGATTCACACTGGTGAAAAGCCGTTTTCATGTGTGAACTGTGGAAAAAGTTTTAGACATAAATATAGTTTAACTCAGCACATGAGGATTCACACTGTGAAAAGCCGTTTTCATGTGTGAACTGTGGAAAAAGTTTTAGTCAAAAACAGGATTTAACTCAGCACATGATGATTCACTCTGGTGAAAAGCCGTTTTCATGTGTGAACTGTGGAAAAAGTTTTAGTCTGAAACAGAAATTAACTCGGCACATGATGATTCACTCTGGTGAAAAGCCGTTTTCATGTGTGAACTGTGGAAAAAGTTTTAGTCTAAAACAGAAATTAACTCGGCACATGATGATTCACTCTGGTGAAAAGCCGTTTTCATATGTGAACTGTGGAAAAAGTTTTAGTCTAAAACAGAAATTAACTCGGCACATGATGAATCATCACTCTGGTGAAAAGCCGTTTTCATGTGTGAACTGTGGAAAAAGTTTTAGTCAAAAACAGAATTTAAGTCGGCACATGAGGATTCACACTGGTGAAAAGCCATTTTCATGTGTGAACTGTGGAAAAAGTTTTAGACATGAACAGCATTTAACTCAGCACATGAGGATTCACACTGGTGAAAAGCCGTTTTCATGTGTGAACTGTGGAAAAAGTTTTAGTCAAAAACAGGATTTAACTCGGCACATGATGATTCACACTGGTGAAAAGCCATTTTCATGTGGGAACTGTGGAAAAAGTTTTAGACATAAACTGGATTTAACTCGGCACATGAGGATTCACACTGGTGAAAAGCCGTTTTCATGTGTGAACTGTGGAAAAAGTTTTAGTCGTAAACAGCATTTAACTAAGCACATGATGATCACACTGGTGAAAAGCCGTTTTCATGGGAACTGTGGAAAAAGTTTTAGTGAAAAACAGAATTTAACTAAGCACATGAGGATTCACACTGGTGAAAAGCCGTTTTCATGTGTGAACTGTGGAAAAAGTTTTAGTGAAAAACAGAATTTAACTAAGCACATGAGGATTCACACTGGTGAAAAGCTGTAAAAGTATTTTCTGTACATGTCCTATGTTGAGGTTCACTATAGATTTGATTTTGTTAAAAACTAGAATGACAGACTGGAGGGGTTTCATGTCTATAAAGCTGAAAATTTTAGTATTTAAATGTGATCATATGGACGTTGTGCAACCATCCAAAAGCAATAATGATAAACTGTATGTTATTGTACTTATATACTGTTTATATCACACTGTATGTTGTGTTTGTACAACGTGAAGAGCAAAAGCTCAGCTCAGAGCCCTGAGGAGAGCCAGTACTGATGCTGATAGATGAAGAGACATTGTGGTCCATTGTGACTAATTTCATGCATTAACAGAGTTTGACTGGACATGGACTCCCTTCCAGAACATTCTCACAAGATTGGACTTGAGGGATTGATTTGTATTATTCTATTATGTATAGAGAAAGTGTGAGGGATGGATGTTGTTTATCTTAATACACTAATTATCAAAAATACAATGTGCTGTTATGCACTGACTTTACATTTTCTTTGATGATTAGATAAAAAATCCATTTAAAAACTTTATGAAATCACTCATTGATTGTTCTTGATTTTTTTAAAGTTTGGTTGATTATTGTTGTCTTCAGTAATTCTGTGTGTCTTTTGTCTTAGTTGTATTTCTATTTTTTCTGCTCTCTTATATTACGAGGAAAACATTTCACGTTCTGCAACGAGAACTGGCACTGAGAAAAATCTGTAGATGTGATGATCGTAGGATCCACAAGGTGGCAGTAATGCAATGACATGAATGCAGTTAGTCATAAAACCCCAAAGAAGAAGACGACAAAGCAAAAGAGATGAAACGAGGTTATGGCTGTTCATAACAGAATTATTTAAATCTGAAGACAAAGGTATAGTTTGGAGAGGAAGCAAGAAGATTTGGAAAATTAGGTGGGATATAAATAAATGGAAGGCATTTATATACAATTGATGTAGTAATGGTTAGAGGAATAAACAAGGGAGGAGATAATTATGAATAGAATAAGAACCAGTCAGTTTTTTAAATTGAACTCTTTTTAAGATGGGGAAACATCTTACTGGTTTATGAAGTTGGTGTGATTCTATGGAACATGTTTTTGTTAGTTGTAGAAAATATGTAAATCAAAGATATTAGAATGAGACATAGATATGAGGATCCAATAGGTGGCAGTAGTGCAAGAGCAATGGATGCAAACTGCCGTTACAATGTAAAGGAGAAGAAGAAAAAGTAGTAGAAGAAGAAGAAGAAGAAGAAGAAGAAGACAGTGAGGACGGCACGTGGTCTGTTTTGTTGAATGTTTGAGTGTTTCTCTAATAAATATCTCCAGTCCAGCTTAAACCAGTTAATCAGCGAGCAGTGAACTGCAGGAACATCGACAGAGTTTAAAGAAATCATCGTCCAGTCGGAGGAAGAGATGGACGATCAGCGCAGACTGCTTGATTTCTCCCGGACTCCCCGAATAGGCACTATATGAGAAATTTGTAGTGGCGGTGGCGGTAATGCGATGACATGAATGCAGTTAATCATAAAATCCCAAAGAAGAAGACAAAAAAAAAAACTGCAGCAGAAGAAGAAAACAAAAGAGATGAAATGAGGTTATGGCTGTTCAAAACAGAATACGTGAACAACATAAAAATGTAATATAATTTTGGATTCCTGCTCATGTGGGTATTTTGGGTAACGAAAGAGCAGATAGGTTGGCTAAGGAAGCTATTAAACAAGAAGTTGTTGATATGCCAGTAAAGTGATTTAAATATAAAGGCAAAAGTAGTTTGGAGAGGAAGCAAGAAGATATGGAAAATTAGGTGGGATAATGAAATAAATGGAAGTCATTTATATACAATTGATCTAGTAATGGTTAGCGGAATAAACAGGAGGGAGGAGATAATTATGAATAGAATAAGAACCAGTCAGTTTTTTTTTAATGGAACTCTTTTTAAGATCAGGAAACATCTTACTGGTTTATGAAGTTGTTGTGATTCTATGGAACATGTTTTTATTAGTTGTAGAAAATATGTAAATCAAAGATATTAGAATGAGACATAGATATGAGGATCCAATAGGTGGCAGTAGTGCAAGAGCAATGGATGCAAACTGCCGTTACAATGTAAAGGAGAAGAAGAAGAAAAAGTAGAAGATTTTGATTTGATTTTTACAAAACATTTATTTACAATAATAATAAAACAATTTCATTTTTTTGTTGTTTTACAATAATCCTATGTCATACATTACAAAAAAATACATTATAATAAAACATCAGTATAAATTAGTTCATTATTTCCTGAAATGATGCACAACACTGTCACATCCCCATAACTCTAAAAACCCTGCACATTCCCAGTGGCCCTGTGGAAAGCAAACTCCAAACTCAGCCTCGCCTTGATGTTTACTTTCCACAGAGCCACAACATCAACTTGAGGTCCATCCTGCATCTTGTCTCTTCGAGTATATATATAGCTAATTTTGCCTCGGCTAATAAATAATTTAAAAGCCGTGACTTAAAACTAGTCGCTTTACTATGACGTACTCCGTTAATAAATAGTGCATCGGTAAAAATCATTTTAAAAAGACTAAAAACAGTCGATAAAAAACTAAAAAAGACTATCAATCGTGTGCAATCTATAAAAACATGAAAAACTCTCTGACAACCTACAAAATGGACACTCATTTATAAAACCAGGACTAATCACCGATAAAAACGCGTTGGTGGCTATAGCGCCATGGAGTATCCTCCACTGGAGGTCGCCAATCCTTTTTCTAATCGGCGGTTTGTACATTGTCCTCCAGTGGATTGGTTGTCCTTTCAGTCTTTCAACCCACACGCTGACGTCCCTCTTTCGAAGTGTTCTCTTGTTTAGGATTTTCACACAGTTTTTATATAAAGTCTTTGGTGCCACTTTGCACAAATCCATTTCTGAGTCCATGGTCTTTAGCAGAGGACCGCTGTCCTCTTCAAAGCTTGGACTCAGAAGAACCTTAGGAAAAGGATCTGTTTCTTTTGGCAGGCATTCTCCATCCTTGTATGCCTGCAATAAACTCTTCTCTTTTCCAGTCAATCTTTCTCTTATTCTCATCAGGACACGTTCCATCATTCTTGTAGACCTTACTTTCAGTGCGGCAGCGACCTCCTGGGCATCGCCAAAGTCTGCTCCTGATGCTCGGATCAGCCTCTTTAAGGTCACCATTCCGGCTCTAGACAGCGTTCTGTTAGTCCCAGGAACGTGTCCTCTCTAACATCCAGTCTTGCTCCGTACACCAAGGGTTCTTCTAATAGCCAATGCAGAGAATCAGTCATTTCCGCTCTACGCAATCTAAAAAGAGCACATGATTTAAAAACGCTCTGATAAAATTGCGGCGTTCCTTTAAACCTTAAAAGACTAAAATTTGTTAAAAACAGAGCAGCATCCAATCCCAAGGAATTCACGCGTCTTAGAATGCAACTGGCTACATCCTTCCACACAGGAGATCCTATCAGGTACTTTTGTAAAAAACTGTATCCTAAACACAGTGACTCTACCGGCCAGGTGGACAAGGCCCTGGCCCCCTCTTCTCAGGATAAAAACAACACCGACTGTGGCACCCAGTGACGATTGTTCCAGAAAAAATTAATCATTTCCTTTTGTATTCTTGCCAGCAGCCCTGACGGTGGATCTAGTACAATGAGCTTGTGCCATAGTTGTGATGCGACCAGATTATTAAGCACTAACACTCTTCCTCTGTGCGACATTTTTCATGCAACCATTTCCATTTCGCAAGTTTGTTTGATATTTTTTGTTCTAGGTTTTGCCAGATTTTTTCAACAAAACTTTTCTCGCCAAGATATTTTAGGCCATCTTTTCTCCAGGTCATGCCTTTGGGGAGAGCCGGGAGTCCGTCGGGCCACTCGCCAACAGCCAGGGCTTCACTTTTTCCCCAATTTACTTTGGCGGCAGACAGCATGGAGAACTTTCTTATGATTTCTGTTAAAACGCTGACGTCTTTTTGATCTTTAATAAAAACCACGAGATCGTCAGCATAGGCAGATAAAACCAATTTGTCTTTAAAACCGGGTAAAACCAAGCCGTGAATGTCTGATCGTATTCTTTAAAAGGGGTTCCAGGGAGAGTGCATAGAGCATTCCCGAGAGCGCGCAGCCCTGTCGAACGCCTCTCTAAAAGGAGCACACAGGCTGCCATTGATCTTCAGCACACTCTCAATGTCACCGTACAACACCTGGATCTTGGCAATAAGACCCTCGCTGAACCCAAACCTCCTCATTACTTTCCAGAGGAAGTCGTGTTCAACGCAGTCAAAAGCCTTTTCTTGATCTAATGAAATCAAGCCTGTCTGTACACCCAAAATATCCCGAATTAGGTAGACATTGTCCACCATGGACCTGCCGGGGACGCAGTAGGTCTGGTCCCGGTGGATGACCTGCTCCATGGCTTTTCCTATTCTCGTGGCCAGGGCCTTCGAGAGGATTTTATAGTCCGTACAGAGGAGGGACACAGGGCGCCAGTTTTTAATCTCCTGCAGGTTGTCCTTTTTCAGCAGCAGGGTGATGACCGCCCTGCGACAGGATAGGGGGAGCGAACCGGTAGCTAGACTCTCGTTGTACATTTCGAGCATGTCCTGGGCCAGAAGGTCCCAGTAGGCCTTGAAAAACTCCACTGTTAGCCCATCAACGCCTGGGGACCTCTGGCCTTGCATGCTCTGGAGGGCTGTGTGGAGCTCTTGTATGGACCGGTTTTTTCTAAAACGGTCCAAAAATAAGTTAAAACCCTTAAAACTCTGATTGTAAGTCAAAGCAGAATTAAAATGCCAGTATGCGCTTCTAGGTAAAATGTTTCTGATAAAAACACTACCTAAAAGCAGCGAATGATCCGTAAAAGCCACAGGTAAGATCTGGCATGTTTTAAACACATTAAAATGGTGTTTAAAACAATAAAAACGATCTAAACGAGGTAAAGAGATTTTACTACAATGTGGGACCAGGTAAACTGCCTGGAGCCTGT